AATTTGGACTGGACCTCCAGTTTAGAAATTTTGGGCCGTCACAATCCTTTTATTTATTTATATATTTTTTGATTAAATCTCAATTTGGTCCCTCAACTATTGTATGGACTTCGGATTTGATTCCTAAACTAATTTTTTTTTTTTTGATTTGGCTCATACTATTTACTAATTTGACCCAAGTTAATCTTTTCATACAAAAGTAAATGATATATTTTATTATTAATATGATACATGACTGTTAAATAACTATTTTCTTAATAGTGATAAACATATCAGTTATTTTTTAATGAAAGGAGCAATATAGGGTTAAATTACTAAATAATAAGGATTAAATTAAAAATATTTTTAGTTTAGGGACGAAATTAGGGATTTAACCTTTTTTTTTTTTTTTTGTTTACGAAATTGAAAGAACTAGTTAATGCCCCGGCCAATGCCTGGGCTCTTGAAATTAAAAAAATAAAATAAAAATTTAATATTAAAAGGAAATTGTAGTGAAAAGATATATTATTTCTTAAAAGAAAAATATAACAATAAATTTTAGAGAATTTAATCTTAATTATCTCAATCCCACAATATATGCATATTTAACTGCTTAGGGATACAATAAAAAATAACAAAATACTAGTGATATTGTGTCTTATTATAGTCATAGTATTCGCTACCATATATAATTCACGAATAACATGAACGACACAACCTCAATGTAAGGAATTTGCCATAGGAGATTTTTGTAATCAAAATTCAACTTGAAGAAATGAGAATTGTCTCATGTTACATAACACATTATCAAATGTGTTTTGCAAGAATACATTTTCAAAAAACAATGGAAACTAAATTAATACCTCAAAAGTATATTGTAATGAAGTTCACCCACAATGAAACTAGTGAAGCCTAGCAATTAAACTTACAACAAAAGTTATGAAACTTGTAGCAAAGCTCAAATGAAAGTACAGTTAAGTATGTAGAATAAAATTAATAGCAAGTAAACTTTTTTTATGATATCTTTTTATACTAATTCAAAATTTAAAAAAGCATTTCTTGTCATTATCCAATATGTCTTTCTATGCAAAGTGCTGTTCTTGTTAAGTATCTTTTAGACCATGTGCAAACTTCCTTCACCAATACAGAAATGCTCTTATCAATTCATAGTTACTAAAAAGTCAATGTAAAAAGCAGTAAAGTTAATAATGAATTCTAGTATCCTACATACATATACTTTATACTGCTGGATGATTTTGCATCTATGCTTGTAAACAAATTCCCAATTCTAGCCACCTTTAACATATGTAATTATGTATTGCATTTTACATGTTGCATTTTGTTGTCTCCATGATACCCACAAAGGAGAAGGAAATAAACAGAGGCAAGGTAAAATGGTAAATCCCATAGCCTTAGGTTTACGTGCATCCAAGAAAATTCAGTTACAAACTATTGATTAGAAGATAAGGAAATTCTAAATAATCAGAATGTTTTCTACTCAGAAAAACAGAGTTACTAACCAAAACCATAAGCTTAAGGGAGTCAATGAGCAGTATCACCAGCAAGTATTATTTGATTGTAGCAACATACAAGCTTTTCAGCAACTTCAGCATGCATCACCCATAACTTTATATCAATAACAATTATAATTGAGAGCTCTCTACTAGCTAGTTTGATTTGTTAACTTCTTGCATGTCTACACAAATTTGCATTCTTTTGAGAGCAATCGTTACAAAAAATGGAGAAGGAACGTTATTATATACCAAATCTTACAATTAATTTTTTTTTTTAAAAAGTCCATCCCATACATCAACTGTTAGGATAGTGTGAAAATCATTCAAAATAGTTATAATTAACTAATTTGTCTTACACATGAGATAATAATTGTATAAGTAGAAAGCTAAAGCCTAAGCTTAAGCATATCTCAAGGGTTAATTTTTGGGGATTTCTTCGTGTTAAATTAATGATGCTACATAAGATGGCACTTTCATACCATGATAGCTTCCACGATAGCTTCACCATTTCTTTACAAACCAGGTAACAAATTGATGAAGAAAGTAAAATAATTGCTGAAAAAAAGGAAAGTTGGAAGCATCAAATCTAAAACCGATTAACCATTTTGTGTGAAGTAATTTTGTAATGTTAAAAAAGCTAAAAGCTAGATAGACCCTTTTACCACCAGCCATTGCCAGAAAAAACCCAAAATTACAGAGATGTCAAAGACGCATTTGAACATTTTGTTATAAACTAACCGGATTCAATAGGCAAAGCTCCTAATTTCCCATATAAACTCAATCAAAACTAATGAATTGAATCATACTGAAGAATACATTTGTCTCTAACTTTGTTATGAACTAAATATTATAATGGTACAACTAATATGCATTTAGAAGTATATTTAGATTCTAATAAATTAAAAAAAAAGGTGGTACGCTGAGACAACTATTTATGTGGGTATCATCTAGCTGAACCAAAGAACACTGAACCTTTCTAAAATCTCAATTATCTTAGCAAATGATGCTATGCCCTGAAAGCTATAGGTCAAACCTCTGTCATGCTACTCTAGCCTACAAACCCAATACAGGTCAAGGCTCTGGGCTTGTTTCTATGAAATAAAGTCAGCATATGTTATAAGAAAGCTCAACTGAAACTAATCTCAAAAAAATAAAAATAAAAATAAATAAATACCTTATATTTTAGGTCTTTGAGAGCATCAACCACTTTGGCACTACCAGCTAACTTGACATGAATTTCATTGGATTTAGCAAGATCATTCCATAGATTATAGACACAGTTCATTTCCTTTTATTTGATTCATCTAGCTTATTCAAATTCCAGGGCAGTTGGCGCTAACATCTCTGCATAAAGAATTACATTTTCAATCTTTTCAATGAAAACAAACCTAAACCATTTGAATTAACATATCCAATTTCAAGTGAGAAAGGACGATAAAGATGTAAGAGATTTGAAAAGATAAACAACAGCTGCAAAAGAATTTGTTAAAACTCGTAGCTTATTCCCAAGAACAATCATTTTGAAAACACAATATCTTAAAATAAATCACTAACTCGGCTTTGATTTGAGAACTCTAATCCTCTAGGCAAGTCTAAAGTCTCAACAATGGGAATTGGGAAATACATTACATTAAAAACACCAAATGTTCCTTGAGAATTAGAGAATTGCAATGCAACAAATTTTAGTTTCTCTAAAACGTAACATCCAAAGTGCTACAAAACTAAATGCCAACATTTAGACATCTCTCTAGTTTGCACTCTCATTTCTTCAATAAAGATAATTTTTTGTGACATTAACTCAAATATTTGATGCTCATTAGCATCTGAAATCCCAGATCAATTCAAAACTCAGACACCCATTTTGAACTATAATACTAAGAAAGCATGATAAACCCAAGTACATGAAAATGGAGAGAAAAAAAAAGGCAAAGAAGACAAACCAAGCTGGTTATACACCCTATTCTTTTCATCAATAGAATGAGAAGCTTGAATTGTCAAATGTAAAGATTGAGTCTTTGACTGAACTGAAGTAACCTACAGAATAATTTCTTGAATTATAATTTAAAGATAAAACCATAAACACAAAGAAAGTCTAATCTGTGAAATTAGAGACAGGAATTCTAAAACAAAGAATGGTACCTTCAGACATATCATTACTCAATACAATATTGATTCCTTTAACACATTCATCATCTTCATCTGTAAATATACAGAGTTAATAAGACTGAAATGTTCTGTAAATAAAAAAAATAAAAGAATAATAAAAATAGATAAGATTCCAAGCATATGGGATCTTTATCTTTTCCTCAAATCAAATGCCAAAAAGGAGATCGATTGTTGTAATTTCCTCACCATCACATGCAATTTTGAGATTAAATTTCAATAATCCAAAAATCTTTGTAATTATGAATGCATAAAGAATCAAAAAGTTGGTAAGAAAGCAAAAAAAAATTTACAGAAGACATTTCAATACTTACATGTTTGTCCAAAAGAAGCATTTCAATATTATCACCCAGTTTTGGTTAACGAAAATTCTTTTGCTTCCTAGGCCTAATTATTCTAACTTTTATCCTCCATATTAAGATTTTTAATAAAATCAAAATATTAGTAATTAGGATTTGTATGCTTTCTATGTTACTAAAAAGAGAGATTGGTATAACATTATATATGAATATAGAAGAAACCCTTCAAATAACCAATATTTATTAGATAGATTATGAAAAAGAATTGGGAAAATAAAATTGACAAAATTTGAAATCAGCAAGTGAATGTAAATTTCCAATGCATTGGAAATATAAGACAAAAGTGACGCCTTAATTGAGGCTTTCGATAACAGAATAGACAAACCAATAGTTTTATTAATATGCAGCAGACAAAAAATTTTGGAAATATGGCGGATAATAAATAGTGAAATGCTTTCCCCAAACAGGAAAAAGTTAGATAACCAAGAAAGATAAACGGGCATTGTTTAGATGTACCAAAAGAAAAGATGAGCTGAACAAATCAACATTATACTGAAGTTAAAACAACAGCACATAACATAAATCCAAAGAACATCAAAACCAACCTTACAATAGAAGCTGGGTAAGAAATCAATAAAATGCAATAAATTGAAATAGATTAAGGGGGGAAAAAAGAGCGAAACTTACCTGGATGAGTTCAAACTCGATTTGGGCTTGATCGACCTTGACAAAGTTGGCGTCTCAGGCCTTGAGAATCCACGGAAACAACACGATCGTCAGACTTGGGAGGTTAAACACTACGGTGGAAGGGATCTGGTGGCGATTTTGGAAGTCAGGTTTGGATTTGACGATCGAAAACAAAGACTAATGCCAAGCCATGGACTTTGTAGATACTTAGGTTTAAGAGATGATTTGGGTTTCAATTTGTTTCCTGATTGAGAGGCCACAGGACATGTTCAATAGACTGGAGAAGGAGGTAGCATGAAAACACCCAGCGACAGTGGGTTCCAGCATCAAAATGGTTCAGCGGCCATGGCTTTAATGAGAAAGAGGTTCAGTAGCGACGATGAAGAAATGGGATTTCTTTTTTTTTTAGGGGGGGAGGGGGGAGGGGGGAGAAGAAATTGGAGTTTATTTAGGCATTCCAACTTAGAAAAAAAAAAGGGCAAAAAAGTAGTGTGAAAAGGATTCTTTCAAACCGGTTCCGAGTTCTATAGGTAAATTAAAAAATAATTAAAGAATTAATTAAAGAATTAAAGAATAATAATAATAAAGTTATAGATAGTTTATAAATGTGAATAGGTGTAAACGCACAATTTGAACATAAAAAAGTTTTTAGGATTTTAACTTTAAGGTAAATTACGGAATAATTAAAGAATTAAATAATAATAATAAAGTTATATATAGTTTTAAATGTGAATAGATGTGAACACATGATATGAATACAAAAAAAGTTCTTAGAATTTTAATTTTAAGATGAATTAAAGAATAATTAAAAAATTAAAAAATAATAATCAAGTTATATATATTTTATAAATGTGTATCGGTGTCAACACACAATCTAAATACAAAAATGATTTTAGGATTTTAATTTTAATTAAAGAATAAATTCTTTATTATATATGTATATATATGTACTAAATTATTATACTAATTATTACTACTATTTTTTTTCAATTGAAAATATAAAATAAAATAACTAAAGAATAAATCTATTCAACCTAGTTAAATATCTTCAGCTATAGTGTCAATTATTTATATTTTGAATTCTAAAATTATATATAAAAAAAAAAACTTCTGTTAATTATAACAAATAAAAAATCCAGTTACAGGTTTACATAAATATAAGTTTATGAATATTTTTTTTAATAAGAATTTAAGAAAATGGATAATATAATTGAATTGAATTAAATTGATTGATTGAATAAGAATAATAAAAAAATTAGGTGTAATGTGAAAAGAAATTTTTAAATCGATTCCAATCTAAATCTCGTTTAGAGTTTTAATAATAATGATAATAATAAAATTATTATTTAATTTATAAATGTGAACAGAGTGTAAATACAAAATAGTTTTTTTTATTTTGCTTTAATATATCTTTAGATTTCTTTCGGAAACAAACCAAGATCAGGAAAGACAGAACCCCTTTGCTACGAACAGAAATCTCCGTCGTACGGCGGCAGCGATGGTGCCCTCCTCCTGGTCCGATCTCCCGGAGCACCTCTTAAACTGCATAGCCAAGCGCCTCGATGCGGAAATCAACGTTCTCCATTTCCGTGCTGTTTGTTCCTCTTGGCGCTCCTCTTTTCCTCGGCCAAATTACCCTAACCGTCCTCTGCCTCTCAAACTCCCCTTCCCGATAGCCCCCTCCAACCCCTACTGGCCTAATCCACCCGGCTTCTATGCTCTCTATGAGGACACTGTTTACCTACTTCAGTTGCCCGACAACGAAGAGGTAAATGCTTGTACTTCTTCACCTCAGCAAGACCGTCGCCGTCAGGGCTGGTTGGTTAGGGTTCGAGAAGAATTTCCGGGTAGATTTCATGTTTTCAGTCCTATTTTGAAGCGCCGCGTAGATTATTTTCCAGAAACTTTTCCTAGAAACTTGAACGTGCTGAATTTTAGGGTCACTGAAGTGTGTAAACTGCATAATCTTCGTTTTGTTTCTTCCTCTTTGCCGAACGATAATGTTGGTATCTATCGCCGAGAATTCCGGGTGGTACTGTTAGGCAATTCTATTTCAACTGGTCGCGCGGTTTTTGCAATTTATGGCCGTCGTGAAGGTGATTTGTGTTTTATGAGACTAGGAGATGAGAAATGGACTGTTGTTCGACATGATGCAGATGTTTTCTATTGTGATATTGCAATTCGAGATGATCAGTTCTATGCTGTCGACAATGTGGGAATGTTGTGTGTTTTTGATTCTTCATTTCAGAAGATAGCAACTATTCCATCTCCTTCAGTTGATGGGGCAGAACGTCGTATTTTCAATTTGGTTGAATCATTTGGCGATATCTTGTTAGTAGTCTTTCGAAATGTGGATTCCTTCAGAGACTTAATTGATTATGATCAGAGAGCCAGAGGTTTCACAAAACATGGTTCTTCTCATGTCATGGTTCAGATAGAGGTTTACAAGTTAAATGAAAAGGAGGGTAATTGGTCTGAGGTGAGGGATTTGGGGGATAGAGTATTGTTTGTGAGTAATGATGGCTGCTGGTCTGTTTCAGCTCATGATTTTGCTGGATGCAAAGGGAACTGCATTTATTTTCATGCATTTTGGAATGTTCAAACTGCTAATCGTGACAACAGGCTTCGAGGACTTGACTACGGAGAGATAGGAGTCTTCAACTTAGAGGATGGAACTGGGGGACCATTGGCATCTTACCCTGGTTATTCAGATATGTTTTGGCCACCTCCAACTTGGTTGAATTCAAACACAAGTTAGTATGGATACTCAAAGTAAGTAGAAAATTATATATATATATATATTTTCTGTTGTTCTTTTGTAAGCCCTTTGTTATTATCTCCCAATGCGATTCAATACCCTTGTTAGCATAGTCATTTTTGCATCTTTTGTATTTCTGAATCGGACCTTTGTTTTCATCCACTGGCTATTCAGATGTGCTGGTAGTTTTAGGTCTGAATATTCTGGTAAATTGTTAGTTTTGCAGATAACAGTATTAGTTATCAAATTGTTAGTTTACAGATGTGTGTGCCATGTTGTCTGGTTATCAGGCAATCTTAACTGTTGTTCTTGTTTTAGAAGAGAAATTTCAGTAACTCTTTTGCTCTCTAACATTGAGCGTCATTTAATGCATTCTATTTTTGTTTTAACTCTTGTTAACTAACATTCAGCTCACTAATTTCTAAAAGCTCTGTCCCATTTTGTTTCTCACTGATTCAAGTACATTTGCCAAAATGAGCATTAGTTAGAAGGGGTTAAAAAAGAGTTGCTATAGTTTTTAACTCAGCACCTGATCTCCCTCCCCATGTTGGCTTATCTGTACGGGGCAGAAACTCATCCCACTTATGATTTGGTGGCTGCATCAAAGACAATGGTTTTTTTCTCCATGACGAAATGATTCTACGTAATTTGGGTAGCCACTGTCTGGAGTACACTAGCTGACCCTGAGACAGACATCACTTTAGGCTGCCCCTTTCCTAGATGTACTGCATCTCTCTATCAGCATTCACCTTTTATAGATCTCTAAAATAAGTAACACAAAGAAGCAATGACATTGATTTTGTTTTGACAAAAGTTGAAGCAAAGTTACTCAATAATGAAGATTTAAGCATATAATTAGCTTGTTAAGTGGTGCTCTTCATTTGAATATCAAATATTTTAAGAGCTCACGATTTAACATCAAGTATTTACCGTGTTATATGAATGATATAAAAAGTGATCATTTCATGAAGCATTTTTCCTAATCGTGTCTTTGGTTTTTCAGGTGTCAATCTTCCTATCCAGCACGCTCCAAGTGATGCAGGGAAGGTAGGGGTGCCCCTGCATCACCAAGAATACTGAATATGTAAATAAATCCATTGGGGCGCTGCCAAAGGGACGACTCCACTAAATTGTAATTTTTGATAAGCAGAACTGAATGAATACTCTGAATATGTAAGTACTTTCTGTGTACAAGAGGTGCTCTCCTATATAATGTCAGATGATTTATGCATGTGTTGAAAATATATGTGCGTGACAGTGACTTTTTGGGCTATCCCTGTGACCTGTTTCAGATTTTGCATGACTTTGCTTCTGGTTTTTCCTTCCTGGAATGATCTAGAGGGCGTTGTCCAGTGCCTAATCCTGATCATTTAATAATAATAATAATAATAATAATAAGGTTAAAACTCCCATTTTGGCCCTCAATTATTATCTGGACCCTTGATTGAGTCCCTCAACTTAAAAAATCCTTGATTTAGTCCTTAAAGTTTGGTATTTTGGCCTTAACTTGATTCTTCCATTAAAAATCTAATGACATGTTCCATTAACTCACGAGCATGATAATATGTCAAAATATTATGATATGTCAGATGTACACATGGAAAAAAAAAAAAAAAAAAGACATGGCAACATAACATGTCACATATTTGTCTAGTACAAAAAAAAAGAAGAAGTGGGGCCCACCCTTGCACAAGCATACGACTTCCCCTTTCTTCTCATTCGAATAGAATAAAGCCCTTCCATTTCAATCACCTAATCTTCTTCTTCCTTAGGCACTTCTCCTTCTATCTCCTTTCCTTGCTGATCTCCATGACAAATAAGCTTGGCTAATTGGTAAAGCTCGTGTGATGGTTAGGTCTTTTCTTCAAGCAAGGCTTGGTGGTGCAAGGGTGGAGATCCAAATTTGGGTTCCTTCAGTCATGCTAGCCTTACACAATAGGGGAACCTAAGATCTAGTTGGGTTCCCTTTGTTATGTGAATCTCATGTGAAGGAGAAGGCCGACTTTGGGTGCGAGGAAATACAAATCTAAGTTCTTTCTACACCCACATTTATATTTGGGTTTTATTTTTCAAATCTTAATTGTTGCAATTTTGGGCATGAAAGCATTAAAATTTGAATGATGAGAATTGGAAATGTAGGCCCCCACTTTCCCTCTCTTACTTCTCTCTCATCTTCAATCATCATCCCATTCTCTAATGACTATTTCTTTTTTGCTTTGGTTAGCTCCATCAAAATCACCTCCATCCATCACCAAATCAGACATTAAGAGCCTCAATCACGAATCGAAGCTACAAAATTGAAAAAGGAAAGAGATGAAATGGAGAGAATTCAATTACAACCACAAGGTTGCTAGGGAATCCAAATCCATTGGCATTAGAGAGGAAAAGATAGTTTATGGGTTTGAGATTTTATGGAGAAATATGAGTAGAGAGGAAAAGATAGATTTAATCGGGAAGGAAGAGATATATTATGGGTTTGTAAGTTAAATTTGGGTATTTATTTGATTTTTTTTTTTTTTAACTTCAATTTGAATTTGGAATGAAAAGTGCAACCTAGATTTGGGTTTTTTTGAAACCCAGGTGTACTGGGTTCAAAAGGTTTTAGGGTTTGTAGAAGGTGAGAGGAAAGGAAGAGGAAGAAGAAAGGGAAAAGGAAAAAACAAAAGAAGAAAAAAAGAAAGAAAAAGGAATTTTTAAAGTTTTTTTTTCCATGTCATTGTTTTTGCCATGCTGTAAATCTTATGTGTCAAAATACTTTTACATATCATCTCTCTCCCTGTTAAGTAATGAGACATGTAGGCGGAATTGTAACGGAGGGACCAACTTGGGATCAAGAAACCAAACTTTAAGGACTAAATTAGGGATTTTTTAAGTTGAGGGATTCAATCAGAAGTTTGTACTATACTTGAGGGACCAAAATTGAGGTTTAACCTAAGAATAATAAAGACAATTTTAAAAGGAAAGAGTATTTTGCAATTCCAATGATAAAACATACCTGCATCCTTGGACGAAGGAGGGTGTCTATCTATCCTCCTTACTCAAGCGTCCCTGTCTTGCACCCAAGAAACTTTTTTTTAAAATTCTGTTCTTAGCTTAAATCGAATACTCCGCCTCCGGAAAAATCACAATTGCAAGTTAAATGGAAAGGAGGATAATTGGACTGAGTTGAGGGATTTGGGGGATATAGCGTTTTTTGTTGGTGCAGACGGCAGCTGGTCTGTTTCAGCTGGGAATTGTATTTATTTCTTTGATATTGTTAAGGTTGGAATTGGAAGTCTTGGAATAAGAGTATTCAACTTAGAGGGTGGAATGGAAATGGGGGTCGATTGGCTTCCTACGCTGGCTGTTCAATGTGTTTAGGCAGCCTCCCCTTGGCTGAATTCAAATGAAAGTTTGTCAGGATGCTAAAGGTGAGTCTAAAACGATATTCTTTATCATATTACCTTTCATGTCCTATCTTGTAATCAACGGGATTAGTTCATCATGTGAGTTAATAACATTGTTAGAAGATTGATTTCTTACTTTATGTTTAGTTTGAGAAAAATGAAGGGGAGAGAACATTTTTTAATCAATTAAATTATAATATTTAAAAATATTATAATTTAATTGATTAAAAAACTCTCTTCTTTTCTTTATTTCCCTCGACTCAAATATACCATTAGTCTTTTGGGCTTTTATAATTTCTAACTTGAGTATTGCATCATTTTCATCATGTCAAGACAAATCATTTCCTCTTTTTCTCCCCTTTTCTTTTTCCTTTTTTGATTGGCACCCATCATTTCCTTATTGTCAATGTTATAGTTTCAAGGAAGACTCGAATGGTTGAAGTTCATGTCTAGCTCATTTTTCTTTTGCTATCAACAAGTTGTTGTTGAGGTCTGTTAGCAGTCGCTTCACCTTAGTTTTAGGTCTGAAAATTCTGGTAAAGTTGGAATATTTGTTACTTTTCCAATAAGAGTATTAGTTACTAAAAAATAGTTCCTTCAATAGGAAGATTGATCTTAGAGAAGTTATGCTTGGTTCTAAATACATGCCTTGTTGTCTGGTTATAGCCAATCTTAACAGTCCTTGTTTTAGAAGAGCAATTTTAGTAACTACTTTGCTCTCTGTCATTCTGCTTCATGTGTCCAAGCTGTATGAGTCAGAAATACATCTCCCATGTTTTGGAGGCTGCAAAACTGCCATGGATTTGAAATGATTCTGCATGGTATATAGTTTAGATAACTAATATATTGTCTGGAGAGTACACTTGATTAGACTGCCCTCCATGTGTCCTGCATCTCTCTTATAAATATTAAACATTTTAGGGATTTCCTTTCCGGTGCTTACGTTTTTAACATTAAGCATTTACCATGTTGTGCAAATGACAGGAAAAAAAAAAGGTGATCATGCATCAAGCATATATACACAATTATGAGGTTTGACGCACTTTTCACCTTATTTTGATGTGTCTTCTAGAGTATCCTTGGGTCTTCTTTGGTCAGGTGTTGCTTTGATTCATGACACTCCAAGCATTGCAAATATGAAAGCATGTAAATCCACTGGCGTGGCATGTCAAAGGCAATGGCATCTTCGATTTAAGGTGCCTGAACTGAATTAACATTTTGAATA